AAGACATCTGGCAGATACATTCTCAACCAATAGAAATCAATTTGAATGTCAGTACTATATAGATTTTAGCCTTATGATCTTGGTACAAAACATAGGGTGTAATATTTATTGAAACAAAAAGCAAGCAATGCATTGTTTGTTTGTTGGGAAGAGAAGGAGATGTACCTTAGAGTTAATGAGTTGGGATCGGTCTCTGGGGTGGCGGTAGAGATAAACACACTTCTTGTCAATGCAGTCCCGGGCAATTATAGTGCCATACACTCGGATCGGGTAACCGACGTCCGAAGAGGCTATCTTGATAGATAAGATGTTTACTCCCCCGCATAGCATGTGTGGCTTGCTCATTTCGAATGCATCATCATCAGTAAATCTCATCCGACCATGGGGCGATGTAGCAGACGAAAAACCACAATTAAACAAGGTAGCTTGAATTCTTGCTCACAATAAATAATAGTTCTAGCAAAACTAGATGAAAGTGCAAACACAATCATATAATATAATCAAGCAAAAAAAAGGTTGCCGGAAGAATAAACTTGGGCGACTTACACTCCTCATCGAGGTCGAAACTTGCGAGGTTGATGAAGCAGAGCCGGTTGTAGTAGATGCCCTTCTGCTTGGGATCGAAGTCGAGGATGTGAGCCTTCGCTTCCCGCCGCCGACCTTCGGGGTCCCCTGCCTCCTGGAGACGACGGGCCTTCTCTAGCGCTTCCTCCCTAAGCCTCTCCGCCTCCGCCGCTTGTTTGGCCTCTATCATGCTAGAGAAATCCAGAGTCCACATCTCAGAGGCAAGCCAGACGTACTCCCGCCCCAAGCACAGCATCTCCTCATTGGCATCGCTTCGCTTCACCGTCTCGTCCCACGCTCGCTCAGAGAGCCACGCCGACTTCGCCGCTCGGTCGGCCTTGCTCAGGCCTGATAGATCAGGATACTTCGCAGCAGAAGCACTTCGATCATGATGAGGATAGATGATCTTGTTGAGGTCCACGATCTACTGGCTTAACGCATCCAAGTGCTTCTCCATCGCCTATGACTCTGCCCACGTAGGCGCCTTCGGCTCCAAACTCGACCCCGCCTCCGCCTTCACCTCCACTTCCGCCATGATGAACACGCCACCAAGCACCAACCAAAGAGATTTTCTCAATCACGCTAAAGGTTTACGTGTCTTTGTATTAAGACAGAGAAAAGTTAGATACAACACGCCTTCGAATACCTTAGGGGTAGTAAAGATTTCAATGGAAGCTTTAAACAAGAAAAGAAAAGCCGATCTAGGTTTTGAGACAAGGCGAGCTAACTAAAACACGGAGCACGTCCGGTATGGACGACTATGAGTCAGAGTGTTGCACGACATCTCTCCATGCATGCATGCAGGTGTCTCATGGAAAAAAAGGAACAGAAGCGATTCAAAGACCAGCTGGCCGAATGGCGCATACGTGCATGAGCAGTACAAGAGAGGAATTCTATTTTTTAGGAGGCACTAGCGCCCGGACGTCCAGTGCCAACAGCGTGTCCGGATGCAGCTCCTAGTCCCAGCCAACCAAAATGTGGCCCAACTTCTAGTCACAGGCCCACCATCGGGAGCATTCCATCTAAGTATCCTCGCGTAACAGAAAAAGTGAACAGAAGTGCTATCTGCCCGCGTAATGGAAGTGGAGAGCGTGCGCTCGCGTCCGCACCGCCATCCCCGATGCCCCCTCCGCTAGCCCCCAGCGTGCCCCCTCCTGAGTCTGAGAAGGATGCAACGCAATAGAAGGCGTGAGGAGGAAACACCAAGGCGAGGCAGGAGAAGGCGAGGAGGGAGATGCAACACCCGATCTACTTTTAAAACATCCGGATACAATACTTGCAACATACGTATGAAGACACATAAAACATTTGAAACATGCGTCTGAAACACTTAAAAACACATGAAACACTTGAAAAACCATTGCAATTGCAACACATAAGCAACATCTAGATAAAACACTTACAACATATGTGTGAAACATATGCAACATCCACATAAACACACTTGCAACATACGTCTGAAAAAAACAGATGAAACATTGGGAACAAACATTTGCAACATAAGTGTACAACCATTGAACATATGCAACATCCATACGAAACCCTTGCAACATGCCTCTAAAACAAATGAAACACTTGAAACATACGCTTTGCAACATGCGCTTTTAGCGCAATGTCACCTTACTGCTTGGACAAATGGAGGTCGTCTTTGTGGAGCTCGACAATGGCGTGGAGCTCGATGCCATAGAGTACAGGGAGGTGGCCGGTGCGGAGCTCATCAGTGGCACGGACCTTGGTAGTGGCCGCGGCAAGCGGATGGAGCGCGGTCGTAACAGGAGGCACGAGTCTGGGCAGGGGAGGCACGTGGCCTGCGCAGGCAGGGGTAGCGTCGGTGGAGTCCATCCTACAAGCCATGAGCAGGATCCACGCTGGTTGGGGGGCACCGACGAGCAGACATCCTACGAGCGGGGGTGGCGCAGGCGGAGTCCGTCCCACGAGTGGGCGCGGCGCTAGCGAGCGGAGTCCATCCGGCGTGAACGGGGGTGCGCAGCGCAGAGCGGGCGGGCAACACGTGCGGAGCACGCGGATGAGTGGATGAGAATGAGCCACGTCCCGATGGGAGTCACGGGACGGACACCCGTAACATATCATTAACGTTTTTTGGTGTCTCCTGCACAATCGACTAATGGTTAGCAAATTGGACGGCGGGGATAGGGCGGACGCGAATTGGACAGAGGAGGCAGGTGCCTGACGGATTTGCAGCGCAGCAGGACAGTGCAAACGAGCAATTTTTTTACTATATATGGACCAGACACCAGATCAACTTACATTGTTATTACCATCATCTCATAATACTAATAATATTATTACAATATATAAGTTGTGTCCCAATGCAAGGACCGTTGTCTAGTCGTGTCCATGCTATTGATGCCTGCCTTCTTGCAAAGGTCATGGCACGTCGAGCTCGGCCTCGGTCAACCAGGCGGCGAAGCCCGGGAACTGTTGGAAAATTATTCCCAGCAAGCTGAGTACTCGGAGGCCTTCGCCAAGGAGGGGGCAAAGGTTTGTTTAAGTAAGACAACAATTCATATGACTCAATTAGGGTTTTAGTGATTCATTGGTCTCTCCCATTTACATGGGGCTTGCTTTCCCCTTTTATAGATCACTATACAGGGCAGAGTTCTTTTACTCCTATGCCCTCACAATCGGTAGGGTATATTCTGGGCATATGCCCGTACACTTACAAACTCCCAGGGTACGTTAGGTCTTCTCTCCCTCAACCGCCTTGCCTCATGGGTCTTAGCTTTAAGCCCACTGGTGGCCCAGTGGTTATGCAGCACGTGCCTCCTTCGAGAGCCCTGCCCATAAAAGGCGAAGGCCTAACCTCCGCCGGTCTTCTCTAGCTGCTGAGTTGATTCATCATCTTCTCCCAGCGACCTTCGTGTCCTCTTCCTGGGTGCCGCCTTGAACCAATCTTTGGGCCTTCGCCGAGACGCCTCCACTGGCCATGGACCTTCGCAAGGTCAGATGTCGTAGGCAAAGGTCCCTGTAAGATTCCTATCAAAATAAACACGACAGCCCATATTCTAGCTTAGTCTGTTAGATGTGTGATGAAGAGATGTGAGGGGAGGATAGCCTTCGCGACCAAGCTATCTATGTCCCAACAGGAACATAACACGGTAAGAGCTGACAAGGCGTGGCTCGCCGCGATCGGTTAGGATGCTGGGGAGGAAAGACTGGTGCCAACTTCGGTGAGCGTCCGTCCATGGTGTCAGCATCTTGTCTTGGAATGAGGAACAGGTCTTGTATTTTGATGACATGTAAGGTTCATATATAAGGGTCTCTATGTAGTGGGAATTCACTGATGGCGGAGCCGAAAGGAGGATGCCTGGTGGAGCAAGGAGCATAGAACTAACAGGACTGGTATCAAGTAAGATGATGCATAGCACCTCTATATTATATCGATAACCCATCCTGACAACAATGAGGAGCCCGATAGAGGTCATGAAGATGGTCAGGTGTTTTTAGTGCTTGCAGGATTCAAGCCACAACTCTTAGCACATATGCTTATGCGATAATGCGAGATTACGCGAAGCAAATTGGCTCTGTGGGCTGTAATAATTACAAGTTTACCTAGGAACACTCTTCTTTATGAGCATAATTGCTTTGTTGCCCCGTGAGATTTGTGTTTCTTGCTTGGGTCGAGTACATTTGTTATTCAAAGATGCCAGCTCCAATTTATCATTCTTGCAAAAGGTTCATGTCTGAGTCCGGTGAATCTTACAACACATCCACAACTCAACTTATTTCAAACTCTAGAGCCACTCTCTAGAGCCACTGCGACTAAGGAAGGCTCCTGGAATTTTTTGCCATTATTTTCCGGTGATAGTGTTCGTCATGCTTTCAGTGAAGTACAATAAAAATTTTCTAACACTGTTGGATACTGATTCAGAGCTTTTACTCGAATTCAATTTGTTAATCTCTGCTCCATGACCATAGATTCTTGGAGTAACGCCAATGTTTAATTATTTTAGTTGACATGTATCCATACAACGGGCACCCTCATTAATACGATATATATGACTTCACAGGAGAGTAAACTTATGCTCGACTCATATCAGTCGGATAAGAAAGAGAATGCGAGGGTTACACCATTAAGGGCCTATCTGGCATAGCTTCACCAACAGTTTCATGAGATGTTATGAGCTGTTTTTTTCCAAACACCATTTTTTAAAACAGCTTCATGGGTGAAGCTATTTTTCCCTCCTCTCACCAGAGGATGTGATGGAAGAGAGTTCAAAAACCTAGCTTATCCTAGTTTCACGTAACACATGCGGTCGCCAAGCATGCACAAAAGACTCCTTTTGCCCGGGCAAAGATAGAGAGAGCTACGTACTCTTGCCGGGGCGTGGCCCGCCGGGGTGTGGCCACCGGGGCGCGGTCGGCGGGGCGCGGCCGCCAGGAGCTATGTACGGACAAGCAGATGAAGGAGAGACATGTCGCGTCGGAAGAACATGACAAAGGCCACCGGAGCTAGGAGCACGGCGCGGCCGGAACCACAGGTGAGCGGCATGACTGTCGTCACTGGGGCACGAGCGGGCAAGAGCGGGCGAGCGACCAGGACTAGGTGCGAGCGGCGTGGCCATCGTCGTCGGGGCACGTGTGGACGCTGGAGCGCGCGAGGCACGCACAACTAGACCTCATGGCTGCCGGAGCTCGTGAGGCACGCGCGACCTCCGAGCGAGGCTGGGCTCGCGGCCGCCTGGGTCGGCAGGTCACGCGTGGGGCTTGCAAGCGGTGTTGGCGTAGCCGTGACTCATGGAGGAAACCGATGGGCAGGTGAAAAATAGGAAAAAAAGTGGAAAGGGAAAAAATGGGGGCACTGTAGTCATTTCATTCATTTTGTCTCCGATCATGAGCTATTTTGCAAAACAGGTTGAAAACACAGTTTTAGCTTCATTGATAAAGGTGTTGGTTGAGCTGAAACTTTAAGGTGATGCTTGGGACTGCTCCGTTCCACATTTTCCAGCTCCGCTCCATGTTTTTAGCCAAACGGTATCAGCTTCACGCACACTACGTGAAAAACGGTTTGTAGCAACGGGACAAATTTTTTGTAGGGGCGGCTGGTGATGGAGCCGCCCCTACAGTGGCGTGCTCGGGAGCCCAGAGACCAGCCGCCCCTACAAATGGCACAGTAGGGGCGGCTGGTAATACTTGCCGCCCCTACAAATGCGTCGATTTGTAGGGGCGGCTAGTATACCAGCCGCCCCTACTGTGTCTATTTGTAGGGGCAGCTGAATCACCAGTCGCCCCTAAAAATGCTCTTACGAGCAGCTAACCTGAGCAACTAACAGTGTACTTGCACACATATAAAACAGAGGGTGCACACTGGCTAGGGTTTGGCACCCGCACTTGCCGCCCCCGGCCTCCTTCTGCACACGCTCTCTCTCCCTCTGACACCAGCGTCGCCGGCCTCCATGCTCCTCTGTCCATGAGCTGCAGTGGCGTAGATCGAGGGAGCCGCGTCGGACAGCCAGGCCTAGGAGGCGGTGGCCGCACGGACTAGGTAGGCCACGGGTGGTGGTGGAGTCTGTGCCGATCCGGGAGACTTGGCCACGTGGATCTGGCCAGAGACAGTGGGCGGCGGTGGTGGCTGTGCGGACTCTGGCCACGAGCCGGCGGTGGAGGCCGCGGGTGGCGGCGAACGCGTGGCTCGGGACACGAGATTGCTGTGGAACCTCGCAGGAAGCCATAGGTGGCGGCGGCCGCGCGGGCTTGGATCTGGAGACGGTACCACAACCCTAACTGCCAAGCTCGTCGCCCGCGTTGTTGCTATTGGTCAGCAGTACAAGAGGACGTCTCCGCATCGCCCCTGGAGATCCCGCCATCGAGGGCTCACCCTGACTGGACGTGGAGAGGTATGCGTTTGTTCATGCATCTTGATTGGTTAATCTACTAATTGGAGATTTGAGATGGCTGGGTGAGGAATCTGAACACTCCGTGCATAGTATGCAGTTTCCACTATCATTTTTGCTAACTGGAATTGTTGTATTTGACATAAGTAACTTAGATTGGAAGATCATCAGTAGCATATGTTTATCTATATAGAGGGATGCATTTTCCACTATCATTTTTTCTAACTGGAATTGCTCTATTTGACATAAGTAGCTTAGATTGGAAGATCATCAGTAGCATCTAGCATATGTATATATATCCACGTTGGTGCTTTTGCATGCAAGTATTGAGGGGGATGTAAAAAGTCTCCTGGATGGTAAAACTTCCACAGAGCTTGAAGATATGCAAAGTCAAATTGAGTCCCAAATGCGCTCTGGAACTGCAAAAGTTGTTGAATACTGGGAAGCTATCCTAAAACAAAGGTATGCCAGTGGGTCTGCAAATGCCAATCTATTCATACCGTTATACAAAGTAAAACGATGCATTTGTTTTTTGAAAATAAGGATGCATGGGTTTATTGACTAGACCTCAGTAATAGGCAAAAGGTGCAACTTTGCCACCACTAGTTGGTTGGTAACCTACTAACCTATGGTGCAGTTGCATGATCTGAACTTCTTTAAAGGCTTATTACAGTAATCCTTTATAATCTAGAGCTGCGCTATTGCATTGGACTTCTGAATTTTGATTTTGCAGTTTGTACTTACGAAAAATGTTTGTTTGCATCGCAGGCTTGCCTGGGGGAGATCCATGCTTCTATCCTAAGGAAGCATTTACATCGACTGGAGCATCCTGGTGTTGTTGAACATGATGTGGAATCTGAGAAAGAAGATGATAATAAACTGGAGGATGAGATGCATGAGGACGAAGGTTTACCTTCTTTTCTGATTACTCGGTCAACTATGTTTCCAAGATAATGAAGTGATTTCTGATGTATGTTCTATTTGTAGATGATAAGCGATATTCGCCTGAGCCTATACCTCAGCACACAGAAAACCAATTTGAAGAGGAAGATGGATCCTTCTCTCCACAGCTAATGCATGGCAATGAAGATGAAGATGCAATTGATCCTGAAGAGGACAAAGCTGAGCTAGTAGAGTCCTGTGTTTCTATTTCTAATAGTATTAACAGAAACATGATTGGAACTGTACTAGTTATTTGCTGTAGTGTAGTTAACTGAGTAGTTTAATTGTCAAGTACAGATTGTTAGTAACTGGACTCCATATTATGCAACAAAAGAGGCTAACTAACAATATTAGGATGAAAAGTTCTACTGATATTTTTTTCGTTAAGAAGACAACCTTTCAAGCTTCTACAGGCCTTCCTGCATGTCTTACCCTAAGAGGGGGGCATTGATTCATTTAGATCTTACTTTTGATGGCAATGCTCCATATGGTGACTTAAATTTAAGGGCTTTCTAGAGTTCATATACAAACACAATGGGTAAAGATTTTTCTTAAGAACATCAAGTTATTAGGGTTTATTTTATGAGTTGATTAGATAATTAGAATGATGTTGGAAACTCATACTTAATGCTTTTAATCATCTCCAGGACCGAAAACGTGAAGCTGTAGTTTTGGAGCATCAAAGGAAAGTTCAGGAAGCCATGAAAGCAAAGGCAAGAGTACCTGATGAGATGGAGATGAAGACCATAAAAACGATGGGAGCTATGGAGGAAGGAGATGCAGTATTTGGTGCCGGTGCTGAAGTGAACCTTGATTCACAGGTTTCGATGATTTTCCTTTGATCCCATTGCGTTTTTAGCATGGTAACATGACGATAGTTGTATATCTATATTTTCCAATATTCTGCCTTGATACTGGATTAGCTAGAGAGTTCTCATAATTCAACTGGGATATGGCGTGACTGTGACAATTTTTTAGTGTTGATCCAGAAGGACCGATGGTTACCTTGCTATAATCTGGACCATAGATAACACACCTTAAGCTACACCAAAAATTTCAAATAATCTGTTGACTCATGTAATTGTAATTGAGTATATTTTGACAGTTTAATATAGGGGTAATGCCATATTTGAGTTCGATACCATGGGTGGTAACAAGTTTTACACACAAGAAGCGTGATTTAGCAACTTTGGTGCATCCTACCGCATATGAACTCAGCTGGTTTCTGATGGCATATGCTTGTTCAATATGCTCGCAGGTGTACTGGTGGCACGACAAGTATCGACCAAGAAAGCCCAAGTACTTCAATCGGGTGCACACTGGATATGAATGGAATAAATACAACCAGACTCATTATGACCATGATAACCCACGCCTAAAATTGTTCAAGGCTACAAGTTCAATATATTTTACCCTGATCTTGTGGATTAATCAAAAGCACCAACATACAGTATAGAGAAAGATGGAAGATCATCGGATTTGAATTTTATATATATATATATATATATATATATATTCTAGTTGAATTTAAATTATAAATTTGAAAAAAAAATTGCCGAAAAATGTATTGTAGGGGCGGTTCTAGACTGAACCGCCCCTACAAATAGGTATTATAGAGGCGGCGGGTACTACAACCGCCCCTACAAATTGATTTGTAGAGGCGGCTGGTACTACAGCCGCCCCTACAAATCGATTTGTAGAGGCGGCTGGTACTATAGCCGCCGCCGACTCTACAAATCAATTTATATAGGCGGCTGGTACTATAGCCGCCTCTATAAATCGATTTGTAGGGGCAGCTGGTCGATTTGTAAGGGCGGTCTAGAAACCGCTCCTACAAATACATGATTTGTAGAGACGGTATGGTAGGGGCGGCTGACCGAGCCACCTCTACAAATGATCTACAACCGCTCCTACAAATATTTATTGTAGTAGTGGCACTCTGTTCGAAGAAAAATGGTGGAATTGTGAGAACACCTAAAGAGGTGCTCCATAAACTCTAATTTTTTGTGGAACTGCTCCACGGTGAAGTTTGTGAAGTGGAGTTTGTGGAACAGTCCCAAACGCTCTAAAAAACAACTTTACTAGTGAAACTGAGCTATGCCAAGCAGGGCCGTGTAGGCGATCCGAACCAACACGTGACACTAAATTTATTAGTTGGTGACAAAAAAAACATCAACATAAGCTTTTTTATTAAAAAAATGGCACATTGATCTACCGCTTGCATAATCACCCAACAAATACTTGTGCTTTGTGTGTAGTGAAGTGATGAAGCCACAGCCGCCCTATCGTGCCTTCCTCTCTGTCTGGCTGTCCGAGAGCCGGGAGGGACCAAGAGAGCGCAATGCGGCAATGGGCTGCTGGCTCATGGACCTATTTGGGTGGCCTGCGTGTCAGGTTGAATGCCAGGTGGGTTGTTTCGGGCCGTGTTGGGCTTAAAAACCATGGATGGATAATTGCGTCTCATAGAAAGCCGATAAAGAAAAAAACATAGTGCTCTATAGCATAATTTTATCGGCAGCACTAGCCTTGAGGTCCATGTGCTTGCGTCCGTTCGGACGCCAGCGGCTGCTCCACCACGTCCCCTCGGATTCACGCGCCAACTCCATTTCCTGCGCTCGCATTTGAACCTGCTGTTTTAGATCCGCTGTTCACGCTGCTCGGATGACTCGCCCCCGTCTCTTCCACAAGAGCACCGCGCAGTCTGTGCCTCCTTCACGCGTCGGTACCCACGGCTTAGCCATGCCCGTCCTCATGGACATCAACGCCGGCAGTCTGCACTTGCAAAAAGAAACACTCGAATGCAACATACATTTAAAACAGATAAAACATTTGGGATATACGCTTGCAATATGTATATGAAACATATGCAACATCCAGATAAAATAAGTACAACATGAAAAAACACTTACTGCAACATAAGACTCAAACAACTGAAACATTTGAAACAAACTATTGCAATATATGTGTGAAAACATATGCAACATCCAGATAAATACGGTTGCAACATACGTCTGGAAACAGATGAAATATTTTGAACAAATGCTTGCAACACGCTTCTGAAACACTTGCAACATGTGCAACATCCTTTGATCTACTTTTGCAACACCCATGAGAAACAACTGCAACATACCTTTGAAATGACTGAAACACCAAAAACATATATTTGCAACATAGGGGGAAGCCTGGGCCAGTCGATTCCAGCCGTCTGGGTTGGAGCCGGCGGCGAGCAACGGTGCATGAGCCCCAGCACCACTAGTATCGGGTTTGGCTCGGCGCAAACGATAGGGGATGGGGGGCGAGGAGCACCATGGCCGCCGGGGGTGTAGAGGGCGCCGCGCAGGGTGGAGAAGAGTCGCCCATTCCCCTGCAACACCGCCGCCTCACCTCCATGGATCTTACCGGAGGTAAGTGGATCTTGTTCCTGCTCCATATATCTCGTCGAAGTGGGGGAGAGGGTTGTCGGATTTGCGACCGTTGGAGGCTTCCGGTGGGGGAGGACGCCGGGCGTTGGTTCGCTGCGGCAGGGATGAGGAGCACGGAAGGGGTAAGGACGGGAGCGGAGTCAAGCGTGCGGGAGTTGGTTTTGTTTTTTTAGGCGAGCGGCGCATGCGACAGTAAGTGGAGCGGAGGTCTTCCGGACGTCTTAATAATAGTAGTACCGTAATTTTATTTATTCTCTGATTTCTGATTTAAACATTCCTCTTAAAAATCAACTTTATTTTCAGTATATTATAATTATAAAACATGATAGTTAGTTGCATTTTTAATTGTCATCATCCATTTTCTTACCTGCAAGTCCTCATGGACATCGATGATGCTATGCTCTCCATCTGCTCCGTCTGCTGCAGATCCCACGGCTGGGCTGCCGCATGACTCGGCTCTCCCTTCCCCTACCAATAGCGAGCGTCCCGCGCACCGCGGGGACACGAATGCCTCCTCGAGCGGGAGCCATGGCGGCGGCGGTGAGGGCGGCGCTGCTGCCCTCCTCATCCTCCTCCCCGTCGCGCGCTGCTCCACCTCCCGCGCCGCTTCCTCTCGCTCACGGCGACTCCCTACCCTCTCTACTACGACCTCATCGTGCACCGCCCTGGCCTCCGACGCCGACAGGAGCCTCGTCTTCTTCGACGACGAGAAGAAGGAAGATGAGGGAGGGGAGTGGGTGGTCAGTAAGAAGGGCGGCGACAGCAACGACAAAGGGGAGGTGCTGGAGAGGAAGGTGGAAGACTTCTTCAGGTCTCTGAATAAGGGCCCCGGCCAAGCTGACACCAAGGCCAAGAGACCGGGAGCGGAGCCGCGGCAGGTGAAGCGCGAGGTGCCAAGGGAGGAGGAGCGTCCGCAGCCGTACCTCGTCACCAGGACCACGGAGCTGCCACCCAGGTCGGATGGCCCGGCCGGGACCGTCGTGCTCATTGACAAGCCCAAAGGTGATGCCTTTCCCCTCCCCTTTGGTGCATTGCAGGTTCTGGGATTCTCACCCAAAGGTGATGCCTTTCTCCTCCACTTTGGTGTATTGCAGGTTCTGGGATTCTCACCAAAATGTATCATCTAAGACAACAGTAGTATTTTAGCTACTTTTATCTGATGCACATGCACCACTGGAAAATTCCTTTTCTAAAATGTGAGCGATTAGCGCAACAATTACATGACAATCAGTCGGTGTGGCAACTGCAGCTTTGCCTCAAGACAGGGTTCTGTATTGTGTTTCCTATCAGGCAGATAATAATTAGTTAATGCGTGGACAGGATTAGGTTCGAGCGGTGTTTTATTAATTTGCTCTGTTGCCTTCCATCCTGAACAATTCATCTGAACTCGTCTTTCCTCTAATCTTAGGATGGACTTCATTTACTGTTTGTGGCAAGTTGCGGCGCTTGGTGAAAGTACAAAAGGTGATATCAGGTTTTTTTCACTATGTCTGAATGTAGCATTCGCCCTTACCATTAAGTATATGTTTTGCAATATTTGTGTGGTCTCAGGTTGGACATGCTGGAACTCTGGACCCCATGGCAACTGGATTGTTGATTGTTTGTGTAGGAAAAGCAACCAAAATAGTTGATAGGTAACATCATCTAATCTTTTGGGGAAAGCTTATTCTTGTGGATGCTGGGAGCCTGGGACAGTTGTCCTCTGGCTTACGCTTATCTTCAAATTTGCTCTGGTATAGACTGTATAGTAGGGTTTGGTGGAAAAATAAAATATGGACTCTAAAATAATTGTTTTGCATACTATCGCTACTTATCGTCCCTCCATCTCTAGCACTTACTGTATTTTTTTTTTCTGAATGATCTCATGCATCTGAAGCTACCAAGGAATGGTTAAAGGCTACAGCAGTGTTTTCCGACTTGGAGAAGCCACATCAACCTGGGATGCAGATTCACCAGTATGTATCCTAGCATCTCTACAATGGTCTGCTGGACATTCTTTTATTCGGGGGTTGCAAATGAATTTACATTATTGAAGGGATTTGGGGAAGCATCACCAAATAACAACCTATTAGGTTCACAGTTAGGTATGCTTCTTTTCAATGCTGCTGGAAATCTTATTGAAAGATTCTATCCTGAAAAGAGGTTCGTCACTTATCAGCATATATTGTTTACATATCATTTAGTTGGTGACTGTTAACTCTATTTTCACAGTTAATTATGCTTCTGTACAATGTTGCTGAGAAATCGTATTGAAAGATTCTATCCTAAGAAGAGGTTGATCACCTTATTAGCATATATAGTTTAGTAGGTGACTGTAAATTCTGCAAGCATTTGTTGATCCTATCTTTACAAATGTCAGAAATTACAAACTCTGTTTTCAGATCTCAATAGTTGATTGTGTGCAATCTTAACCTTTTCTTGATATAATTAATTAAACCACTTGTGTTTTCCCAAATCTGATCCTGTATAGTTACTTTTTTGATATTAGCTTTCATTTTAATTATCTATATTCTTACAATTCTGCTTAGATGACAGTAATGCTTTCCATCCTTCTATGATCAGATTATTCAGAGGGAACCATGGGAACACATCAAAGATGAAGATATTAGAAAGGCAGCAGCATCATTCAAGGGTCAGATATGGCAAGTTCCTCCAATGTTTTCTGCCATTAAGGTACACTATTCTTGTACCTAAAGCTATTTTTCTGTATCTTTTCTTTAAAAGAATGTTGCCATTACGGTACACAATCTGCTCAGCAGTTTTACACTTTTGGATAGTAAGCAACTAAACCACTAGAAGTATATTGTTCACCTATGAAGAGCAAAAAGGGAAATAGAAAGATAATGCGCATATAGGTTACTTTTGTCATACTATCTCCGGACTTGTCTGTGTACTGCTTCTGTAAATAATGACATAAGGATATAGTTGGATTTTGTCATTATACAGTTTGATATTACTGATCTTCCATGTGCTGTCACACTGCCTATTACTCAAAGTTAATCAACCATGAAACCACAAGTTCACAAGTTGTGTTATTTCCGAAACATGTATGACAAATTCACAAGCTTACAATTGTAATCAACGATGAAATCAGGTTGGTGGTGAAAAGATGTATGACAAAGCAAGAAGGGGTGAAACAGTAGAGCTTTCACCAAGACGTATATCAATATACCAATTTGATATTGAGCGCAGTTTGGAAGACAGGTGTTCTTATACTCCTCTTTTCCTACCTTTGAATTCATAGCAGATAATAAATATCTGGTTAGTGTTCATATGATTACCTGTACTCCTCTTGATGATTGTTTTTTTTTTTTTGGTTGCATTCTACAGACAGAATTTGATATTTCGAGTTACTTGCTCAAAAGGAACATATATTCAGTCCCTATGTGCGGACTTGGGTAAAGCTCTTGGAAGGTTTGCACAATTATTCTTCTGTTAGTCTTATTTTCTGTTTTCTTTCTGTGTGTGCAGTCTGCATAAATGATAAATGGACATCAGCATGTATAATGTGCTCTAAGTGATATAGTGTCAGGATTGCATTTAGATTTACTTTTCAGGTTTCTATAAATGTTTCAGTTGTTAGGATTGTGCAATATCCTTTCACTTACTGTCATCCTTTTATGGGCAAGTTACTTTATGTGTCCAGTGGAGTTCTAATTTCATTGAACACCATAAGCCTAAAAGTCTGCGTAGAGCCTATCTCTATGTGTTTTGGACCTATGCTTATGCACCCTGCTTATACTTGCTCTGTCAAAGATTTAACCGAGTGTACCATCTTGGCCAATTCGCATACATACTAATAGTACTCACTTGGAACTTACCCTTACTAACAGGCCCAAGTTTGATATTCATATTTCACAAGTATTATTTTCATGTCTTTGGGCTGGAAGTTTTTTTTTTTAAAAAATAACTTAGCTATTTTACTGAAGTTGGCTAGTTTCATGTATTTGTTGCACTGAACCCAAATACTTGTTCCTCCACTTTTTTTCTGGATGTAGTTTAAGATATTACTCTTGTCGTTTAATTGTAGAATAACCCCATGCTCCTTTTTCCCCCATTTTCATTCAGTTACTGTTCTTATCCATCGACATCTCTTTTATGCTAATATATTTGGGTGACCAAATTCAGTCTATACATTTTCCTGCAGCTGTGCTCATTTAACTGCCTTGCGGAGAGACTCAATAGGTAATTTTATGTTATGTGCCTCTTGGCTACTGTCTACTTGGTCCAGCTGTAGTTGTAGTCAAGTGAAAATTTGTTGCTTGTGAATGTTTCTAAGGCTTACTTTGCAGGTGAATACTCGGTCAATGATGCTTGTAACTTTGATGAGCTTGAGCAACAAATCACCAAGGGATATTTATGATCATTGATTAAACCTGCCTTCTGGACTCTGGAGGGTGCGAGCTAGGTTTACATGCGCCTTGCAACCAGTGGCCATGTCAGATGTCACCAATTATATACGAGTAGAAATTAAGTCAACAGTGAAGTGGCACCTTTAGTAGACATCCAGTAAAGGGCATCCATGCATATCAGTCCCAAGGCTTTCAGTGCGTGTTGGGAGGAACTGAAGAGATGCAAATCCAATTCAGCTCATCCTCAATTTGTAGAGGAACACGAAGCTTGTCTTCTTGTGATGAGCTCGACAATGATGACTTGCCCTTGGGCTCCCTCAATTTAGTCGTTTGGGCAGTAGTGTTTAGATTTTTTTTGGCGTTTTCCCTTTAATAAACCGTGCAACTATATATGGTTTTCAGGTCTGCTTAACTTGGGTAAATTTCTGTTTTTTTTTACCTATCGTGGATTGCAGGAACTACCTGCCCTTTTCAAATGTTGCTTCGAAAAAAAAGTCAGATACAGAACAGAACGTCTAGCGCCCGGACGTCCGGACGGGGCTAGCGTCCGGACGCCCGCGCATGCTTCACGTGAGGCCTGCGCCACTCTGTGTCCCGCGTTGCACTGTGTCCGCACCCACACTGTGGCCCGCGTCACTCCGTGTCCTGCATCCGCACTGTGGCTTGCACACGATTCGTCTTGTGCCCGCACTGTGGCGCCCTCCAACCACGCGCATGCAAGTGGGCCCAGCAGCTGTAGCAAATGGCTGCTGCAGATGGGTCCCACTGCAACATGTGCAACATCAAAATTTACTTTTGCAATATCTAGATAAAACACTTACAACATACGTTCGAAACAATTGAAACACTTGCAACATATGTCTGAAATACCAGGAAAACACGTGTGTAACCATTGCAAAATATACGCAACATCCAGAAAAAACATTTGTAACAAATGTGTGAAACATATGCAACATCCGGATGATACACACTTGCAACATATATATGAAAGAAATAAATGAAACATTGGGGACGGACGCTTGCCACATACATATACAACAATTGCAACATATGCAACATTCCGATCTACTTTTGCAACATCCGTATTAAATACTTAAAACATACCTCTAAACACATCTGAAACATTTGAAATATATACTTACAACATGCATCATATCATGCCGCTGCCAGACGGCCGCGGACCTTGCTGTTAGAGACCTTCCTAACTGCCTAGCGCCCATGACCATGGACCCGCCGAGCAACTGCATCCTCGTCGGTGTTGCTGGCCGAGTCACCCCTGATGGGCAAGGCGTCCTTGCTCGATCTCGTACACATCGTCGGATACCGTCGCCGAGGGAGGAAGGAAGCGCGAGGTGCAGTCGAAGAAGCCCGCTCCGAGTATGGCCACTGCGATCTTGTGATGTCGTGAGCTGAGGTCGACAGCGGCAAGGACCTTCTGGTGGGTAATGGCGGCATCTGCAGCACGGAGGCGGAGCGGGCATGGGCGGCAGACACGGTGCCGAGCCGAGCAGGATGGGGCACACCGAAGGTGGAGTGGACGTGGGCCTAGGGGAGCGGACGTGAAGGCAGGATGGGAGGAGTAGGGGGATGGGGTGCGCCGGAGGTGGAGCGGGCGTGGGTGGCAGACACGGCGCTGAGGCGAGCGGGTGGGGGCGCCGTGCGTGGCGCACGACGACGAGGCAGAGTGGGGTGGGCGCCCGATGTGGTGAAGCGAGTGGGGACTTCATTAGGGATTTCGGTTCGGATTTCTGTCACGAGCGGAGGAGAAAGCATCGGCGTAGAGGAGCAGGCCCGTTGCCTGTTGGACCCGATCGCTTCGCATGCCTAGGAACGGCGCGTTCGGACACACATGCCCGGACGGACACCCTCACCGAAGCATTATCGGATACAGAAGCTCTTTTGCATTTATCTGAACCCTATGGCTGAGTTCGGCTGACACAAAAACACTGTAGCAACTGAAAAAATACTGTTCTGGATGAAAAAAGAAGCGGATCAAGCCGGGTTTCATGTCAGCCGAACAAGGCCATAGGGTCACACCCGTTGTCGTTCGCAGTCATCACCTGTCGTTTGAACTCTGATGACCCACAACGACGGGCAAGCACAGTGGCAACCTGCGTGTTATTTGCCATGCCCTATGCAAGCTTCACGACCAGCTTGCCACGTTGAGTCCATGCTTGTGGTTAGGGCGTCTGTTGGTCTGGACACTTGCGTAAGTGGGCCTCGACGTCCGCCCGAATGGCCCTACAGTCTCACTTGCACCCATCTCGTGTTGCTAAAAAAATCTCCGATCTCACCGTCCTGAATTCTATAGTCTCTATTCTTGTATCGTCGCCGTGCTCGCAATGTCGCGGCATGCTGCACCGAGAACGTGCCACCATGCCTGCACCGCTGCATTGCATCGCGACCGTGCCGCCGCGTCCTGCATCGTGACCGCGCCTGACCGACCACCATCCTTCCTCTCTGCTGCACCCGAGCGCCGCCGCCCGCCGTCCTCCCTCTCCACCACGCTCACCGCCCGTCGCGAGGCCTTCTCCACCGGACCTGTCGTGGCCTTCTCTACCTGAGCGATGAGTTCCGCGCCACCGGCGAGCTCTACATCGGTGAACTCCACACTCCGACAAGCCTCCATTCCTAAACAACAAGGAGATGTTGCACTGAAAGCGCATGTTGCAATGGCTATACTCGTATGTTTCAAATGTTTCATCTGTATCAGACATATGTTTCAAGTGTTTCCATTTGGATGTTGCAAAAGTAGATCTGGATGTTGCATATACATGCATGTTGCAAGCGTATGTTTCAAGTGTTTTAGGTGTTTCATACGTCTATTGCAGGTGTTTCATCTAGATGTTGAATATGTTTGGAATGGTTTTCAAGTGGCTTTTAGGTGTTTTTGCAATCGTTTCAGACGTATGTTTCAAGTGTTTTATCTGTCTTTTTTTATATGTTGTAACTGTTGCATATGGATGTTTCAAAAGTAGATCGGGTGTTGCACATGTGATGCACGTGGGAAGCGGATGGCGGTGCTGGCGACGTTTGGGGCAGCGCGGGTCCCTTGCTGGGGCGCTCGCTCGCCAGCCTGACACGCTAGGATGCTCGCTCGCTCGTTGAGCGGATAGCATCCAACTCTAGCACCCCGGATCGAACTTCCGGGCTCTAGCAAGTCCGTTTTCTTACTGCTTGTATGTACTCTTCTCCGTATAAACAAACCATATTTGCTTCCCGAGCCGCACCAAAGCTTGACTTCAATTCGGACATCCTTCAGCGCATATCTCCTCCTGCACGTGCATTCCTTTCCCTTCCTTTCCTTCATGCACGAATACAAGTAGGCGTTCCGTGTTGTACAATGCTCCTCTGCCTGCATCTGTACACGACAAAGAATCCCAAGGCGCTGGAAACTACAGACAAGCTTGCAATGAAGGCAAACATATGTCTCGGTAGGACGATAATTGTTGATTTGTTGTAAAGCACAAACAATACTCTTCCATATCCTCTGAAATATATGCCTGTGTCCACGGAAGATCCGGCTAGCTTGTCTTTACTGTGTGTTCCAACAAAATCATCCTTCTTTCTCTTCATTTGCTTAGCCGTCATGCAAATTTATCAATGTACTAATCACCAGCTACAATAATTAAACGGCCAGACACTTATTTACTAGCCAAATTGATTTTTAAGGTTTTATGTTACCATTGTGTGATGTGATTCTAATTAGTATAGTATGAAGTATCATATATATATCTCTTTACCTACATTGAAATGCCATGATTTATGGAACATCATTGTGATCTATGTACCAAAGACAAGATGATGTTCCAACGGAAACTTGTATTACAATACCTCTTTTCTATTTTGCAATGTATGTAATCCTTTCTATCTGATGGAAGCAACGAAAGGGAGCTGTTCTCCACACACTCATGCAAAGGAGGCCACGTCTGATTTCTAGTGAATCTCTATAACACGACCAAGCTCTGACATGCCATTGGGCCACGTCTCTTCCAATTCACAGTCATCGGATGATATCATTCTACGGTGAATATCCTAGCGTCAAAATAACATAGGGAGGTCCGCCGCTGACGGCCCAGCCCAAATAGAGGCCCAAACCTAGGTACATAAACTCTCATAGACCACAATCGATTGTTTACCAGTAACAAGAGCTAACCCATGTTCTCTTGATCGTTTACGTGGCTTATAAGTTGGCTGATGTTATTTTGTTATGAGAGAAAAATACTATATTCCTGACCGTGGACTGCCTCGCCTTGTCAGTCGCCTGTTCCTTGACGCGCCGCCGCCTGGTGCCTACCCGCCGCTGCCGATAGGATCATTGGCATGCACTCACGCTGGATTATGGGGTTTGTTTGTTTTTTCCTTCATTTAAGGTAACCATATATCCATGTTAAATTGCGACAATTTTATTTGATTTGTTGGCCCTGAACATAGGGTTTTGTAGCTCGTTCCTGAAGGTCAAGGTGTCATGTCAGGCCACCACCTGCAACGAGGAGGTGCTTACTCGTCGAGTCGTCGTCGTCGTCGGACTGTCAGAGTGGATAGGTGCGTCGGCCGTCGGCGACAGGCATATCCTCGTGTCTTGAAGGAACAATACTGCTACTAGCCACGTATACTACTAATACCAACACACCGAACGCATGGTCAGTGACTCGACTCGACACACCGAACGCATGGTCAGTGACTCGACTCGGTGTCAACCTTGGGCAATGCAAACCACACAGCACTCTGCTTTGGGCCTGTTGGGCCTTTCTCCCCTGGCTAGGTCCGGTCTTTTTGTACAGATCATACATGAGTTGGTTAGATTTCTTGGAACTGTCCATCCGAATTTAAATTCTCGACTTAGTATGGATTCCTGGATTTATTCCAGAATTTAATGGCGCTATGCTTTCAGTGGTAGGCAACGTCCCCGTCGACAGCGAGGCGCCAGTGGTGACTTCGTGAATCTCGAGATCTACCGGCCCAGTCTTTCGAGGGTGCTCATAGGGGTATGGTTTACGTACGTGTGTTC